TTAATTAAGTTATTTACAATCATCAATTAGAATAAAAATTTTTAAAACAATTATTTTTAGGGGTCCAAAATTGGGTTCAAAATATCAAAAACATGATGGAATAGATAAATGTAGGCAAAATGCATTCTCTATTGAAGGTTTCATGAATCTCTACCAATAGCATGGAGCGTCATAGATTATTTTACAAGAAAATATTTCAATTTCTACTTTCTCTTATGTAGGCTTTAATTCTTTCTTTGTAGGTTTTAATTTCCTTTCATAAAACTCGTTAAAACATTGCTACATTTGACAAAACATACTTTCATATTACAGGCTCCAATGCATCTGGACTAATATAACAAGGTTATCATTGATAGATGAAATTATGAGAAAATATTTCACCTTCTATGTAGGCTCTGGTTTTTTTTCTTAAGAAAATGTTAAATACTATCTTGCATAAGTGAAGCATAACACCTTTTATAAGCTCTAGGACATATCTATCAAGTGTACCAAGCAATCTCATGCAAGTGGAGTTGCTATCATCACCCAAGACTTCCAATCTCTATATAGAGGCTCCATTCTCTTTGGATAAGGAGATTGATTTTATCTATTTGGATGAATTTGGAGCCTAAAAAAGAGAAATTTTTTTTATCTCGTTTTAAAGTTTTAATTTTCTTCTTAATGAAAGTTAATTATCATCAAAGTTGGTTGTTGCCTATGTAAGAGATGATGTTTGATGTGCAAAAATATATACAATATCAGGATGTTGCAAATATAATGCTAAAAAAAATTACCTAAAAGTTCAACAAAGAGAATCATGATGATTAAATTGCCTATTTTTATAATTTTTATTGACATTATGATTTGATTTGCTTGCTAGAAGATTTCATACACATCTCTCTCTATCTTTTTCCACAAATTCTTATTGTGAAATTATATCAATTTGAATTTTGAAAGAATTTTAATTTTTGGATGCCTTGTTGTTAAGATTATGTTGTATCAATCTTTGGTTAATTCTTACAATCAAATCATTCATAAATTGTTTCTGAAGAACTTTTTCTTATGAATGTATGTAGTTTCCCTCTCGACCGCACAAACTTTTCTTATAAAAAGATTATTATTTGGCATGATTAAAAATTCATGAATATATATTTTTGATGTTATTAATTTGCTACTTGCTAACTTCATGAATTTATCATGCATTATTAACTTTTCAAAATGGGTTAAACTTTTTGTTGAAACTTGCATGAAAGTGTATGTGTTGTAAGAAAAAAAAAAACTTAATTTTTCTTAAAATATTTTCGTAAAAAATCATCAAGTGTCTGTGGGACAATGAATCATATAATATGTTGTTGTAAGGGGAAAAAAAAAAGGTTAAATTTATGCTTTTGGAAAGATGTCCTTTTATAATTTTTATTTAATATTATTAATTTTTTCTTCAATTTTATATAGAGTTAAGTATATTTTAGGTGTTGTAAAAAGTAGGCTTAATTTTTAGCTCAATGTTGAAATTGAGTGCTAATATTGATGATGTCAATATAATGGGATATAATCAGATGACTCATGTTGAATTTTGTAGGAAGAACATGTTTTATATTATTATATTTCATGCTTTTTTAATAGGATTATTTGGAAAGACCAATTAATTTCTTATATGGATTATTTGGATTTATTGAGTTTGTTTTAATGAGATTGAACGACCTCATCAATATTTATTTATGCTTCTAATAGATGAACAAGATCAACATATGAATTGACTATCTCTTACATCAATGAAGAGTAATATGGTCCAGAACGAAGTCCTACAAAAAATAATAGTAATAACTTATGCTCTCTACTAATAAAATTTAATAAGATTCTAAAGAGAAAATCTTGAAATACTCCTTAAGTATATCCCTGTTCCTTTGGAACATAACTAGAAAGTTGGGTTAAGTCCTCGATGTTCTGCAATTAGCAATGAATTGAGAATAACAAGCCTAATAAAGTTTTCAGATCATATGCACTTCTTTTAAAGAGAGAATAAAATCATGTATGTGCTTAAACCATAAAGGTGGCATGAAAGACCTAAAGGAAGTCTATTTGAAGCTTTTGAACTTGCAAGAAAATCGAAAAATGATCGATATGCTCTTAAGAATTAGTGGACCGATTATGAAGATCTATAGTAGACAACTTAAATCTCAATGGAAATAAATGTCAAAGAATTTTATCGGTTAGGGATGAGGATCTATCTTAAATCTCAATGAAAATAAATGTCAAAGAATTTTATCGGTTAGGGATGACAAATCACGGATACAAAATTATGGAGTAAGTTAATTCATATCTCTTATAGAAAATTCTTTATTAATGAAACGTCACGAGTCATTTCATATAGTATCAAAAGGGGTGTCTATGAGGTATAATCGATCTAGATCCATGAATGCTTCATGCAAATAGCTAGTTGGTTAAGCAACATAAGAGAGATGAATTGAACTGATATTGGCAAACAGTTTTGGTTTAATAAGCTGTGGTAGAGGAAATCTTACACGAGCATTAATCATAAATTGATCAATATTGAATTATTGATTTTACATCTCTTCATGTGTGATAATACCTATATTAGTAAGCTTCTTTTAGGAATTGAAGGATTGGTATGTAAATGACAACATATTCATCTAAAATAAGGCTTATACATAGATCTTTCAGTAAGAATCAGTTATATGAGGGGTTTACAAGTAAAGTAGCATTAATTGGCATAATTCAAAAGCTTCAAGCCTCAATCAACTCACGATTACTAAGAAGATAACTAAACAAAAGCTGTAAACTCTGTATAAGCAATAATACCAATGCTTTTGTGAATGATTTTGTATTATATGACCCAAAGCATGAAATCTATAACTGCAGCTTTATCGCATAGAAAAGGTTCGATTAACTTTACTGCACCTGTCTTAGAACTATATTGTTAAATATAATTGTTCATTATTGTTAACTGCATACTATATTAGACTTAGAACATAGATCAATTGTTTACTCCATAATAAATTTAAGATAAAAGTTATATTAGTAAGAGAAAAATTAGATCACTAATGATTAGAAAAGCAAATGAGTTAATATCTAAATGATAAAAAACAACATAAGCTATCCTAAATACATAGAGATTGTATTAAAACTATGAAAAAGACACTTGTTAAAGTCATAGCTCCCTCATATATATGATATCTAGAGTGGACAATAAGAACTTGTGACCAAATTGAGATGTAGCATCAAGAGTTTGGCTTATGAATAACATAACTCCATATTACAAAACTCTACCTTATTGATATTTTCTCCATATTTAACTAATGATTACCATTATTTATATACAACTCAATTGAAAATGAGATTATTTATTTAAATCATAAATTCAGAATTACACAAAAAACATTTTTCTTATATATATATATTAAAGTTGTTTAATAAAAAACGTTATATAGATGTTAATTATGATTTTATAATAGTTCCGATAAAACATATAAGTCTGTCATGATTACAAAATACATATATAAAATATACTTATATTAGTAAGTACAATCGACTCACTCCACTCGAGACTTGCCCTTCCCTAATGCAACACATGCAAAATAAAACAAGGGTAAACAACTAGTTCAGTAGGTTACATGAAGCCTACAATTAAAATTAATACACAAAATAGAACAATATGCATTGCATCATAAATATCTCATGCATGCTAAATAAGTAAGGGTCTGTTTGGGTCAGCTGTAGCTTATTGAATAATATGCTGATAAGCTGATTAAAAATAATCTACTGATAAACTAGGTGCGGTAGCTATTATAAATTTTATTTTTTTTTTTGGAAAAGCCAGACCGCAGTCAGAAAGCTGCCACCGCAGGTGCGGTGTGAAAACGCTGTTTTCAGCGTTTTGAAAACGCATAAGCTGTCAAAACACAGTTTACCCAAACATGCCAGGTGCGTTTTCAAAACGCCACCGCACAAATAAGCTGCCCCAAACAGACGCTAAGTCTGTAGGTCACTAAAAATGTGTGTGTGTGTGTGTGTGTCTGTGTATTGCATTTTTAAAAAGAGAAAATTTTCTCTGTAGGTCACTAAAAATGTGTGTGTGTGTGTGTCTCTGTGTATTGCATTTTTAAAAAGAGAAAATTTTCTTAACGCATTTTCTTACTGATAATCCTTCTATAAATGAAATTGTTTTTAAAATATAAAGGGCATTTACATACATACCACTCGATTCTTATCTATTTACATATCTAACATTTAAATTAAAATTTTTTAAACTTTGAATTATAAATAAGACGAAGTTGAACAAATCACGTTCGACTCGTTTTAACTTGTTGTGTGTTTTCTATTGCACAATATTGATGCAGATTTGAATCCAACATCTTATTTCTATTTCATTAAATTAATTTAAACGAGCCAAAATATGTCAATCGAGTCAAACACTAACACACTGTCTTCATGACTTTCAAACACGAGCCAACTTCGAACAATCTGCCTATTAATATATATATATATATAAAAAGAAAAATTATTTGTGCTTGCAAATTATAACAGTATTGTTATATATATATATATATATATTATAATAGTATGGGTCTTTCTAGAAGGTAGAGAAAGAAGATGGGGGGAGTGGCCATAGGTCAAATACATTACATTTTAACATGTTCCCATTACAAGTTTGCCAATTTCCAAGACCATTACTGATTAGGTAAGCCACAATGTGGAAAAAGAGCCACAACAATAAAGGAAATAGTAATTAAAAAAAATCCAAAAAATTAATAAATAAATAAGAAAAATCTTTTTGTAAATTACATTTTATTTGGCCGGCTGTACAAATGGAGTAAGACAGAATAACATTAATCTGTAACTAATTAAAATGTCAGTGTAAATTTAAAATCATTATCTAAATTTTATAATCGACCCCCTCCCTACATTAAATTTATACTTCCGCCCTTAATTTCCCCCCCCCCCCCAAAAAAAAAAAAAAAAAAAAAAAAAAAAATCATTTTTTTGCTTTTATATATATATATATAGAGGTGAGGACCCAATGTTTTATGGAATGGATCCGTTGATATACGTGGATTATGTATGGATGGTGTGGATTGATAAAAGGGTGAGAAATGGACGGTGGAGATTGATTAGAAGTTCTCCTTATGGAAATCGAACTTAGTGTTGGTCTTGTGAGAGAAATCCTGCGCTAATTGCCTCAGCTCCTTTGTAAGGGTTGCAGCTCCGCAGTAGAATACACCTGCGACATAAAATTAGTTTTTTTTTAAAAAGGAATATTTACATAAATACCACTCAATTTATGTACTTAATTCATGTAAATAAATAAAGTGTATTTTTAATATTTTCTAAATATCATAAAAAGTGTAACATTAGAAATAGAGAAAAATTATAAAATGATTTTATAAAAAAAGAATAAAAACAAAATGGAATAAATCCTTTTTTTTATTTTCAAAATATTCAACATAAACTATTAAATTACCCGAAAAAATATCAATTGCTTCAAAATAATTAAATAAATAAATAAAAATGTCAACACCTAACAGGCTTTGAATTCCATTGTCACGATACAATCCAAATTCTTCTCAAATGGGTCCCACTCGTGCACAAAAGTGCTTGGAGATGGGTCCCACTTGTGCGCCGAGACGCACATGGTCATTACATTGGATCGGACTTCCAATTCAATTAAATATTTAAAATGTAAGGTTGACACAATAAATAACAAATTATTAGCAAGCTATAAAAAAATAATTATTTTCACATTTATATATTATTATTCTCTTAATATAAATAATTATTAAAAATATAATTAAACTCTACGATAAGTTAATTTTATAAATTATCCAATGACCTTTTTTTTTCATAATCAATTCAAAAAATTGTACTATTTAAATAAATAAAAAAAAATTAGGGGCAACTACAACTTATTGAATAATCTACTTATTAAAAGTAATCTGCTCATAAGCTAGGTGCGGTGACCATTACAAATTTTTATTTTTTTTTTGGAAAAATCAGACCGCTGCCAGAAAGCGGTCATAAATGTTGTTTTCAGCGTTTTGAAAAAGCATAAACTATCAAAAAGTTTACCCAAATAGATCAGGTGCATTTTCAAAATGACACCGCAACAAATAAGCTGCCTCAAACAGACCCTAAACCCCACATTTTGATAATTTTGCATAATGTGTATGGACATGCATGAAGGACAGGTCACTTTTGGCATTTTATAATGTCATCTAAACGTATTTACGTTTCGACAAAAATACTACTGTACAAATTTTATATATAAATAATTAATCTTATCTATCACCACCACATATTAGGATAAGATTTAGTATATTTATTTCTGAAATAAGGTTTATAGAAACATTTATTATCGAAAAGGACAAAAATAAAAAAAAAATTTCTAAATAATTTATACGATAAACCTGTTCTTTCAATTTGCAAAGCACCGTCCAAACTAAAAATTATTTTATGAATATTGTAAATTATCTTACTAAACTATAATAATACATTTAAAAATCTTAAAATTTCTATACATGATCATGATTAGTGGTGTAAACGAGTTGAGTCGTTGTGCTCGAGCTTTAGCTTGATTAATTTTCTCGAGTTTGAGCTCAAGCTGGAGCTTAAGTCTATGAACTCGAGTTAGCTCACTAGCCAACTTGTTTGATATAAAAAAAAAAATAATATTAATTTAAGTTAGTTTTATAATAAGATGAAAAATATAAGGAATATTTTAGATGAGAACCGGCTCACGAGCTAACTCGTCTTGAGTCGGGCTGACTTGAGTTTGCCTTGTTAGCTCATTAAGCTTAGTTCACGAGCCACTTATCAAGTCGAGTTCGAACAGTCTCACGACTCATCTTGACTACCTTATACACAACTCGTCTTAACTCAATCACACGCCTAATCATGATTAATATTTTCATACCAAAACAAATTAATTTTTAACCATTCTATGAAAAAAAAAAAGAAAATTATAATTGTGCAAAGAAGCGTACCTATACGTTCTCCCCTGTGGTTCAGTGCTATGCGCTTGTACACATTGCGCCAATTAGGGCGAGCGAAATGGCTCTTCACCCGAGTTCCGGACACCACATCGACGCCATTCTTGGCGTGATTCAGCGACTGAAGCATCGCGATGAGCGCGGAACGGGCGTCGCCTTCCTCGTACACGCTGGTGCAGTAGTTATGCAGCTCGATCACGCCTTTCTTATCCGTCTCCGCCACCTCATTCATCACCCCTCTGAACCACTCGAACGACCCCTGCTCCCGCGTCACCCAGTAGAAGTAAGCTCTCCGTGTCCTGAAGTCGCGCCCGGCTGACTCCGGTCATGGCCGGATTCGATGTCGCCGGCGATCCCCTCGGCTTCCAGCATCTTCATGTTGTTGACGATGTCTTTCAGGACGCTGATGAATGGGGTTGCTCCTATGCCCAGCCCGACAAGCAGAACGACGTCGTATTTCTTGTAATCCTGCGCCGGCGCGCCATATGGGCCGTCTATCAGCACCTTCGGCAAGCTGTAAAAACCGTTTTTTTAATTCAGTTTCGGCAACAATATGGAATAAATACATCAGAAATTAAAATGAGTACTGCTGGTGGGGCTTCCTTACCTTCGGTTGGGACTCCGGTCATCCATGTCGTCGTACTCGGCTCGAAGAAGCCCGCTTTTGCCATCAGTTGGCCTTTGGCACACCTGAATCAAGATCAGAAAGCTTCATTAATGGCTGACATATGTATATATATAGCTGCGAGATGGTGGAGATTTGTGATCAGGGAGGACTTCATGGAGCCAAGCTATCTCACCTCGGAGAACACCAGCTTGAGCTGCCGGGTCCAGTCCCCAAGCGTTCGTATATGAACGCTTACATAATCGTCCTGCGGGGCTGAAGTAATCGAGAATGGGTGCCTGATAAACACATTCAAGTTCCCATGATGAAGAAATCAATCCAAAAAAAAAAAAAAAAAATCAAAACTTGTTTTTTATATCATTAACAATTACCATTCAAAGGGGGAGACTGCAGCACAGTTGACAAAAATATACTGCCCGCTCCGATATCTAAAGCCTTGTGGCTTCGATACATGAAGCGCCAGCACGTTGCCTGGGTAAACCGCAATCTTCAGTATTTTAACGGCTCTAATGCTGGATCTGAACAGCCTAATCAATCTCTCCGACGCGTAGAGGATCACCGGCACCGCCAGATACATCCATGTCTGCAATTTACATATTTTAAGTACAAACACAACGCGACTCTGTCTTAAAGATTGAATTTTTAATTAAGAACACACATACATACCGTTTTATGGTTCCACTCCCTGCTCAAGTAGAGGAAAGTGCCATGGATGATGAGGAGAATGTAAACAATAACAAACAGATGATGGGAGTACCAGAAAGCATTGAAACCAGTAAGCCGCTTGAGCAGAGGACCGGGAAGGCTCAATCTTCCCCGGCGAAACCAGGGCGTCGCTAAAGTAAACGCGACGGACATGAGCACCACCATCACAATCCCCGTCCACCCCTCCGTCCCCTTGACGAACCACCAGTAGTTGTTCGGCCGCGTATCTCCGAAAAAAGGCTTCATTGGCTCGTACTCCTCGTCGCTCGCGTGCAGCAGCCGCGGGAAATCGCATGTCAGATGAGGAATGGCGTGCATCCCGACGGCCAACGAGATGCCTACCGCGATCACTTTGTGGAAATTGAGGTTGTCGTCGAAGGGGACGACGCCGCCGAGCTTGGTCTTGTTGCGGAGCCAGGTGATGGTGTTGCGGCAGACGGGGAGGAGGATGAGGGCCATGTTGAATTTGAGGGTTTCTGCGGCGCCTTTGGCGACGCAGACGCAGTAGCCCATGATATGGAAGACGGCGCGGTGGCGGTATTGGATGAATTTCCAGGTGAAGAGGGCGGCGCAGATGGCGAGCCAGAGGGACATTACCCAGACGCGCTTCCAGTTGTCTTGGAGGAAGTATTTGGAGTTCTGGTAGTAGCGGCGGAGGGGGTTGGGTTCCACTGTGGGTTTCAGTTTCTGGCTGAGTAGTTGGCTGAGATTGCGGCTGTTGGTGGTGCCGATGCGGACGGACTGGTTGGGTGCTTGCAGGAGGAGGGTTTCCAGGTTGTATATCTGAAGAAGAAGGTGAGGTTACGAATTAATTGATGATTAATTAATGGTGATTAGTGAGTTAATTTTGTTTTAATTAAGTAGGTACCTCGATGTAACCGAGATTGCTGGGGTCCAGTTCTTCCATGATGAGGCGGGCGTATTCTTCTGCTTGGTCTTGGATTACTGAGAGCTTGTTGGCCGATGCGCTTAAGGTGATGATCTGCTTGTAATTAATGAAATTAATAATTATTATGGGTAATTATGAATTTTGTAAAGGGATGATAAAGAAATTAATAAAACATTAAAATTTTTTTAAGATATTTTAATATTTATTTAAGTAAAAAAATATGTCTTTAAATATTACATCATGAGTACTTATATAATTTTATGTGTAGATTGTAGTATTTAGTTGCTATTTAGTAATATTGTGGTCTTTACAGTACTACCAATAACATCTTCAATTAATGATTAATTATTGAAAAATATTTTTTTTGTAATTAAAATCAATTATGATGAATTTATTACTATATGTCATAAAATGAGAAGCATGCTAAAAGTCTTGAAGGCCATGTTGGAACAAATATGTACAAAGTTAAAATTGGCTAATGTCCCTTTTTATACAACCACTAAATTATAGAAAATAAAAAAAATGGAAATAGTCTAATTTCAGAAGGTAGAATTTATCTCTCATTAATGTTCTAATTTTAAATATAAGAAAATCATATATGTTTCATTTTTTTTTATTAAATCATTTATTATTTAAAGTATTCGAAAAGGAAGTTTTAAAACTTTGATAAAAAAAATCATTTTTTTAAAAAAAATTAAGTTTAGAATTATAAATATATTTTTAAAAAAAAAAAAAATCAATCATCAACTTTCTTATCTTTTAAAAAAATTAAGTTTAGAATTATAAATATATTTAAAAAAAAAAAATCAATCATCAACTTTCTTATCTTTAAAAATGAACAGACCCTTAAAAGTGGAAAAAATATTATCTCAGGAGTACTGATACATCAGTACTATAATTGTGGGGTGTCACGTGGCGCCATGGTGGGACTATTACATACGTGACACCCATCATTAAAGTACTGATGCATCAACAATCCTGAGGTAATTTTTTTTTTTTAAAGTGAGAGCAAGAGTGGGAGCGGGTGAAAAAATATCCCACTTAATTAGTATAAAGTTAAAAATTGAATTGCCTAATAAAAATCGACCAGAGAAAATGTAAATAAGAAGTCCAAAAGGCAAGCAAAAAACTTGTCTAACCTCTTTGACTTCCTCTTCAGTAATCCTCCCATCCGCATTTTTGTCAACCCTGCAAAACCTCAACTAAATAAGCACTACATAACCAGAGTTCTTGTAGTCCCACGACGAAGCAACATTATAAATATAAATGAAAAAAAAATATTCAAAACCGTGTAATTAGTTGAAGAAAATGCAAATATGAATTTACATGTCGAAAAATGTTTGCAGCCTGGAATCAAAACTCTGATCCGAGATCTGCTCCCAGAACTCCCACAGCTCAGCCTTGGTGATGGAGTCTCCGGTGATATTTCTTCTCCTCGCCAAAGCGTCGAACAGCTCCCCCGCAAACTCCTTCGAATCCTTCATACCTGAACATGTCATTAATCCCGACATTAATCTCCTGCAACTTCTCTTCCCATCATCACAATTTAGAGCAGCTAACATGAAGAAGAAGACAAGACATACCAATACACTGCCCGAACAGAGAGCGAGGTAGCTTCCCCTCCACACCAAGCTCATCAAACCTCTTCTCCACCGCCGGCCACCCGGCGGCGCCACCCGCCGTTTTGGATATAAACTTAAGACCCTTGAGCGCATGCGCCGCCGCTGACTTAGATCGGTCAACTCTCCCCGGTCCCCCACGCTTCGTCAACGAGGCCAGCCGCTTCAGCTCCTGCGAAACCTGCCGGAATCTAGACGAAGCAGAGCGGATAACAGAGGAGCCCAAGGAAGAGGATTTTTTCTCCAGAGTTCGCGCGAGTAGAGTGACCTCCGGATCCTCGATTTCGCCGCCGGCCGCAGCCTTAACGCTGTGCACGGCCACCGTGGCGTCGCGCACGTCGAGCGTGATCTCCACATAAGCGTCGGCCGCGGCGGCGGGCGGCGGCGGCGGCGGAGCTATGGTGGACTCCGGTATGTTAAAGCGAGCGCTTTTCTTGCCGCCTTTTCGGTTGAGGGGACCGCTCAACGGTCCGCTGTAGGGGACGCGATCGCTGCCACCGAGGCTGTCTGCGTCGGGCATGTCGGAGTGGTATCCGTCGTCGGAAAAAAGTTTCTTCATTTGGAGAGGAGGAGGGGAGGTGGTGAGGTGGGGGGGTGGAGTTGGTGGGTTATATAGTGGGAGAGTATAAAAAAATGGTGGTGGGGTAATGGGTTAGTTTTTGACCCATGGGAGGGGTTCGGGGTAGGAGAGCGGCAAGGTGGGGAGGTTCTGGAAGGGGAAGCGCACTCTGCCGGTTGCATCGCATGCGAGGCCACCTTAAAATTGCCGTCTTTGTTTGACTGATGGTGCGCGTGGGAATTTTAGGGGTTTTTATTTTTTATTTTTGGGGGAATATTTTGATTTAAGATTTGGGAGAAATTGACGTGTATGTCATGTCATTTTTATTTATTTATATGTTAATACTTAAAAGCTTTATCTTTATATTTGTAACGTGTTATTGTTATGAATATGTTGAAGTCTTTTTAGGAGGTAGAATTTTGTATTGTTCGTGAGCGTTGGGTTGTTGTGTGGAGTTAAAGTGAGCCGAGGAGCAGGAATGCCGGCACAAAAGCATCAAACATGTGCGCTCAAGTGTTCAATTAGGGTTTCTTGATCTAGAAAAGTTGGCTTATAGGCGCCCACTAGATGTGGGCGGCAGAGGATGGGGCGCATGGGTGACCCATTATGGGCGCTGACGCAGTTTTTACGCCAGCCTATTAGCACATGCGCTAATGGCGGTTTCAAGAGTGATTTTATTTTTAAGTCCCAATTTTAAGTAACTACAAAGTACCTTCCTCTGGCGTTATTCGACAAGCATCTCAGTGAAAGTAAGAAGTGTCGAAGTGGTGGTTTTCAGTGATTCAACATTATTTTTGCGTCAAATCAAAGTGGGAAGATTGTAGAGCAAGTACTGTAAGTTTTCTTTGTGTGGAGATAACACTTGTGTGAGTTCTTTGTAAATGAAGCCTTCTGAATTTTATATTAGAAATTTCTGGTAATGTGACGCCATGGTATCCTCTCGTTCTCAGTTTTTTTCACGTAAATTCTTGTGTGCTTATCAAGTTGTTTTGATTGTGCTTTCTACTTTCGGCTTTCTCAAATTGGTGTGATCTCATTATTTCGTGGTCTGGTTTGTGTCTAATTGATCATAAACCCCGACAAAGTTGGAAATTGTTCGTTGGATGTTTCCTATCAACTGGTATCAAAATGGGGTTTGATTCAAGTGAGTGGAGAAATTCAATGAGTCGAACTTAGCTTTCTGGAAGATGTAGGCAAGGGATTTGTTGTGTCAGAAAAAATTATACTTGTCATTACAAAAAATCAAAAAGAAGCCTAAGTCTATGCTTATGAAGGAGTGAGAAGGGTTGGATCGAATGACGCTGGGTTTGATCAGTGACACTTTTCTTATCTGTTGCGTTTAACATTGTAAATCAGAAAACTATGATGGATCTCAAGATGAAACTAGCCAAGATGTATAAAAAATATTCTGCTTCCAATAAGGTCTTTCTGATAAGAAATTATTCAACATGAAAAAGGGGGAAGATAGTTCAGTGGCAGAGCATCTCAATAACTTCAACGATGTGACGAGCTAGTTGTGTCCTGTGGGGATCAAGTTTGATGATGAGATCATAGCACAAGGTGATACTATATTCATTATCGGAAAGCTGAGATGGCTTGATAACGATGATGAGTAATTCTTCAGAGACTTTGAACTTGAATTTCGATGAAATCGTGAGTTTGATGCTGAATGAAGAAGTTTGCAAAAAAACAATGAATGATGAATCTTCAAGTTCCGCGTTGAATGCTGATAAGAAAATAAGGAATATGGGCAGGAATAACAGAGGCAGATCTAAATCCAAGAAAGGAAAGCCGAAGTCAAGTAGAGGAGAATGTTGGAACTGCAGTAAGAAATGACATTTCAAGAAGGACTACAAAGCTAAAAGGAAAGCTGGTGGTGGAGGACAGATAAATAGTCTTTCTATTAATCCAAAATGACTCTCTAGTGTTATCCCTAGTCAACACTGAATCCTGGATAGTGGATTCAGGTGCCTCTTTTCATGCTTCTCCCAATAAAGAGGTATTTAAAAACTAAATTCAAATTGATTGATGGAAAGTTTATTTAGGAGATAACAAGGTCATCAATATAGTTGGAAAGGGTTGTGTTGATATCAAGTTGTTGAATTGAAGAGTTTGGAAAGCTTGTTGAAATAAGAAATATTCCAAGTTTGAAGATAAATCTTATCTCTGTGAGCCAGCTGGTAAAGTCAAGACTTGTGACTACTTTCACAAGTGATTCGTGAAAGGTGATCAGGGGGTATTGGTGATGGCTCGGGGCAACTTTGAATGCACCCTTTATCTGATCAATGAATGACTGATTTCATTGATGTGGTTGGAACTAGGGTGGATACAGGACTTTCGCACCATAGGCTTGGCCATAAGAGCGAGTAATGCATGAAGTTCCTACTTTCAAATAATAGGCTTGAGGGACTAAAATCTGTTGATCTGTATTTCTGCGAAGACGGGATATATGACAAGCAAAAAGAAGGTTTCTTTCTCCAAGAGCGGGTCAGTGGTAGAATCAAAGAAACTGAAGTTAGTGAATACTAATGTTTGAGGTCATACTCCAGTTTAGTCCATTGAAGGTTCTCACTATTTTTTCATATTCATTGATGATCACACGAGAAATGTATGAGTTTATTTCTTAAACCATAAATCTGATGCCTTTGAAGTATTTAAGAAGTGAAAGACTATGATAGAAAATAAAACAAATTTTATGTTGAAGTGTTTTAGATAAGATAATGAGTGAATGTCATGATCAACAATTCAAAAATTTCTATGTTACAGAGGGGGTCAGACATGAGTTCACTGTCCTCAAGTACACCGCAACAAAATGGTGTAACTAAATGCATGAACAAAAAAATCATGAAGAATGCTAGGAGCATGAGACTGCATGTAGGCTTACCAAAACAGTTTTAGGCAGAACTAGTAAACACTGCAATTTATCGAATCAATGATAGCCCGTCAATACCTTTGAATTCTTATCTCCAATCAATCAGAAAAGTATGGCCTATCAGAGATTCTTTGATTTATAAGATTTCAAAGAGAGAAGAAAGAGAGAGGAGCTCTGAATTCACCCCCGATCGTTTTTCCTCCTCTTTTATACACAAGAGATAAAAGTTAAAAAAATAATCGACTCAACACATCATGTTAGGTGTTACCGGTACGATGCTTGTCTCTGTTGTCTGGCTGAAAGAATTGAGCCGCAGGTGTTGGGAGACGCCTTTTAAAATTAATCATGATGGCTTCTTCCGATTGTCGCCCTCACACGGGTGGGCAAGGCTTTCCTTTTGGGATGAATGAACATAATTAGATTGAAAGACGGGTGGGTTTGATTCGGTCACTTGGTTGGGTAGGCTTCACTTTAAGCTTTTTAATAAGATGTTAGAGATTTGAATGTTATATGAGAAACTTATGTAAAAATATAAGTATTGAGTTGTATGAATGTAAATGTCCTTTTTTTTCATTATAGATTAACTTTTTTTTTTTTTTTGCATTTATTTATAGTGGAACACATTTTAATTGCATAAAATTCAAAAAAACACGTGTTGCATAACATTTCTCTATATATTTCATGACAATTCAATCTTAGCTCATTTAGGGAACGAGATTAAGACAATTGAGACTTAATTAACGTGCAAGTTGATCGCAATTAAGTAAAGAGCAAAAGAAGGGTCGTTAACGAATATTAAACTTTTACGGTATCCTAAATGCATTTTATATTAGCTTTTGTTCGTCTTGGTCTTATTTGAATTTTTTATTAATTTTATAAATTTTTTTATAATATCAAGAATAAATTTTTATTTTTTTTTATGAATGCACGAATCTAAAGGCAGTTTAGAAGACCAACAGAGCTCGGGTTTAAAAGCTACTTATGTACATTGCCTCCCAAGATTAATCAATCAAGGTTGAAAACTTCTCTTAGTATTGTAAATATCTGTCTTAAGATTTGTGCTGACATATTTTTGATATATACATGTTTAGTTTCTCGATACTTTTGCTCATTGAAAACTGCACAACACATGAGGATAAGAGAATTTTTTTTAACATGTATGAATTAAATAACATTATTGCGTGATAGTAGATTTCCGTGTCAGACCATTAAAAATATATCTTGGAGAAAGGAAGGTATGCGTCGTTTCCTTTTCTTTTTGTTTCTTTGTCCTTTTGTCTTCTATTCCGTGTCTATCTTGAAGTCTGGTGAGAGAGAGCCATCAACTGACAAGAGCGCCCTCCTCAAAACCATGAATCGAATGTGGGCTATCACTTCCCAAGGGTAGGTATGTGGGCCCTCATCAATTTTACATATAGGTATGCTAACAAACCTGTCGAGTTGAAAACTTCTCTTAGAGAATTGTAAATATCTGTCTTAAGATTCGTGCTGACATATTTTTGATATATATATGTTTAGTTTCTCGATACTTTTGCTCATTGAAAACTGCACAACACATGAGGATAAGAGAATTTTTTTAACATGTATGAATTAAATAACATTATTGCGTGATAGTAGATTTCCGTGTCAGACCATTAAAAATATATCTTGGAGAAAGGAAGGTATGCGTCGTTTCCTTTTCTTTTTGTTTCTTTGTCCTTTTGTCTTCTATTCCGTGTCTATCTTGAAGTCTGGTGAGAGAGAGCCATCAACTGACAAGAGCGCCCTCCTCAAAACCATGAATCGAATGTGGGCTATCACTTCCCAAGGGTAGGTATGTGGGCCCTCATCAATTTTACATATAGGTATGCTAACAAACCTGTCGTGAAATGAAAAACAATAAGTGAAGTTTCCGCGAGAGAGTTGAGCAAGAAGACAGGAGTCGCAGGAGAGAAAACGCGAAGATCAAACTGGTTCTTTGGACTTTTACACAGGCTCATCATAGAAGAGAGCTGCAGAGGAGATTGGAGGGCATCCCGGCGATTGTCTGTTGGCCGCTATCTGGGCTGTCGTTTCCCAAGGGCCGAAGGATGGCCTTTCTTCCGAGGGTGAAGGATTGGAGGATACCGGTGAGTACCTTGTCTCTTACAACTTCTCTAAATGGTGTCCAATTTTGGGTACCTAGCTTGATTGATGCTTTTTAGTATTTCATTTAAAGCAGTTGGAGCTTTGACAAATGTTTCCATCTCATATCGAGCCACGAAGAGGGGAGTCGATGTTTTGGGACAGGCTGCTGCGAAACAAGGAACCATGGAGCAGGGCATTATAGAGTCGGATGGTACGACCCAGAGGATGGGAAAGAATCTCTCCCCCCCAGTCAGGGCAAGAATGTGGGCAATCAAGTTTCTTTCGA